CAAATCCCCCAATTCCAAATCCCCAAATTCTGAATTTTCCAAATTCCCAAATCCCCAAATTCTCAAATCCCCCAATTCCAAATCCCCAAATTCTAAATTTTCCAAATTCCCAAATCTCCAAATTCCAAATCTTCCAAATTCCCAAATCTCCCAATTCCAAATCCCCCAATTCCCAAGTCCCTCAATTCCAAATCCCCCAATTCCAAATCCCCCAATTCCCAAATCCCCCAATTCCCAAATCCCCCAATTCCCAAATCCCCCAATTCCCAAATCCCCCAATTCCCAAATCCCCCAATTCCCAAATCCCCCAATTCCCAAATCCCCCAATTCCCAAATCCCCCAATTCCCAAATCCCCCAATTCCCAAATCCCCCAATTCCCAAATCCCCCAATTCCCAAATCCCCCAATTCCCAAATAATTCCAAATCCCCAAATTCTAAATTTTCCAAATTCCCAAATCCCCAAATTNCAAATCTTCCAAATTCCCAAATTCCCAAATCCCCCAATTCCAAATCCCCTAATTCCCAAATCCCCCAATTCCCAAATCCCCCAATTCCCAAATCCCCCAATTCCCAAATCCCCCAATCCCAACCTCCCAAACACCTATACCCTCAACTAGCAAACCTTCAAACTTACAAACAATGATTTGAGAAATAAATTAAAAACTTCTAAATTTAGTCTAAAAATCTGAGAATCGATATCTCCCCAGAATAACCAATTTCCAAATTTCCATCTCCTATAACTAACTCCAAAATAACCTAAATAAAAGAGTGGATGATAAAAAGCCCCCAAAATCTAAGTAACGAACAGAGTATCTGAAACATCCTGTACACAATGCATATTGTGACACGTGCTTTAACATCGGCGTAACGAAGGTAACCGGGTCCGAGTCGTTTATGCGACACTTAATCCTTTATCAGGCACGAGTAACTGGCATCGCGGCCACCGATTGACTCGATTAACCTTGGGAGGATGTCGTTCATAAGCGAACCTGAAATAATGGCCGCGACTCGCGTTGCATAATGATCTCCACCGGTAACTCGGTTCGTATGCTCGTTCGCTCGAGAGTGAAAGCACTGTGGTGTCTAGGATCGGCCTGCATTAGAATCGTTCGACCGGTTAGGCGTTGCAACACATCGCACAACAACTCGCGTATCTTTTGTACACCGTGCAAGATAACGATGTAGGGACATACTTTACCTCGTTGTTCCGACGGTTCAGGTGTACAATGCTCGATAAAACGGGTCAACGAACTAACTCGTAAATCGTTGCTGCATCACCTCTTCACTTGCTAAACTAATTTTAGTACTACATTTCACATTATTTTGAAAAAGTACTGATTATTTTATTGAACTTCGCATGAAATTAATGGAGAGTCTGAGTCACCTGAACTCGTTCTGTGATTTGTCAGGTGTGTCTGAACTAATCACAGCAAGACAAAATCGAGACCCGTTATCAGTCAACTATGTAAATAATTGTCGACTCCGAATTAAGGCATACTCGAGTAAAAATCACGAGACTTGTCAAAATAGTGCAAAAGATTGAATAAAATGAACATTCAGAGCAAATAAGGAGAAAGATAAAAATGTCTCAGTCAGCAAGGATTAATAACAGCGTTGTTTCGCAGTGAAATGACAGCCGATGATCAAATGCAAGGAGGTATAAAAAGAGCGTGCCGCCACTATAATGTAAATTTCTTAATCAGAGATAATTACCGCGGTAGCACCTGTGCAAGCGATGGAATATTTTAGTCGGCAAGATCCGTGCGAAACGGACCGTAAAATACGAGATACGTATTTCGGTTGCTTGACTCATCGGCGTCGTATTGCTATTTAAAAGCACGGAACCTCGCTAACCGATCCGTCGAATCCGATATTTACCTTAACGTCGCGATTATTTCACCAAGAACACTGCCAGCGAGTCTTGTACGTATCACTCGCTGTGTTGTTTATAGTTTTCGCTCGTATTAATTCATTGCCAGACGTTGTTTAGCTGCGAATATCACGGTTAATAAGTAAACCGACTGCGTTCAAAACATCAATGTTTACCGAGGTAAATTTAAATAGTCCATTCATACTTTCCTATTTTTGTTGGGTTGAGGGCTCTCGATATATTGCCTTGAGGTATTTACGGATGCGTTGTATGTTGACGTGTTGATCATTCGGAGCGTTGTAGTTTAATGCGTTGATAGTTCCGAGAGTTGTAATTCAATAGGTTGATAATTCGGTATTTTGTAATTTAATATGTTGATAATTCGACGCGTTGTAATTTAATACATTGATAATTCAGCGCTTTGTAATTTAATACGTGGATAATTCAGCGCGTTGTAATTTAATACATTGATAATTCAGCGCTTTGTATAATTCAATACGCTGATAATTCGACGCGTTGTAATTTAATACATTGATAATTTAGCGCGTTGTATAATTCAATACGCTGATAATTCGACGCGTTGTAATTTAATACATTGATAACTCAATGCGTTGTGTAATTCAATACGCTGATAATTCGGCGCTTTGTAATTTAATACGTGGATAATTCGACGCGTTGTAATTTAATACGCTGATAATTCGACGCGTTGTAATTTAATACGTGGATAATTCAGCGCGTTATAATTTAATACGCTGATAATTCGGCGCTTTGTAATTTAATACGTGGATAATTTGCCGCGTTGTAATTTAATACATTGATAATTCAACGCGTTGTGTAATTCAATACGCTGATAATTCGACGCGTTGTAATTTAATACATTGATAATTCAGCGCTTTGTAATTCAATACACTGACAATTCGGCGCTTTGTTATTCAATACGTGGATAATTCAACGCGTTGTGTAATTCAATACACTGATAATTCGGCGTTTTGTAATTTAATACGTGGATAATTTGACGCGTTGTAATTTAATACATTGATAATTCAACGCGTTGTGTAATTCAATACGCTGATAATTCAGCGCTTTGTAATTTAATAAATTGATCATTCGGCGCGTTGTAATCTAATGCATTGATTATTCGGCGCGTTGTAATTCAACGCGTTGATAATTCGGTGCGTTATAATTCAATACGCTGATAGTTCGACGCATTACATTTCAATTCGTTAAATTTCTACTTGTTATATTTCACCACATTATATTTCATCACATTGCTAATTCTACGCGTTGCATTTTGGTGCACTGTATTTCATCGCGTTGTGTTTCAACACATTGATAATACAGTGTGTCATATTTTAACGTGTTACAAAATTGTACATGTATACACATGTATATAGCACATGTATACCAACTATTATACACGTATCAATTGTACATATATACATATGTGTACCACATGTATACTAACTGTTGTACACGTATCAATTGTACATATATACACATGTGTACCACATGTATACCAACTATTATACACATATCAATTGTACATATATACACATGTGTACCACATGTATACCAACTATTATACACGTATCAATTGTACATATATACACATGTGTACCACATGTATACCAACTATTATACACGTATCAATTGTACATATATACACATGTGTACCACATGTATACCAACTATTATACACGTATCAATTGTACATATATACACATGTGTACCACATGTATACCAACTATTATACACGTATCAATTGTACATATATACACATGTGTACCACATGTATACCAACTATTATACACGTATCAATTGTACATATATACACATGTGTACCACATGTATACCAACTATTATACACGTATCAATTGTACATATATACACATGTGTACCACATGTATACCAACTATTATACACGTATCAATTGTACATATATACATATGTGTACCACATGTATACTAACTGTTGTACATGTATCAATTATACATGTACACATGTACATACCACATGTGTCCCAACTGTTGTACATGTATCAATTATATATGTACACATGTATACCACATGTGTCCCAACATATTTCAACATATATTTCCACATTATTCATTTCAACACACTTCAACATACCGCATATTAATACGTTAATAATACAACCCGTTGTATTTCGAGTTATTTTCATAAACACTTTCTCCAGAACGTTTCACTCGTAAATTGACAAAGTTAACGACCAAGATACCCGAACATGTGCTCTAACTTTATCATTGTTCATGGAAGCCTAGCAATAAGGAAACGGGAGATTTCACGAGTCGTAGAGCTAGTGACTCACTGATTACACTCTAATCAATAGACATTTCTTTAACGCGCCGAAGAGATTTTACTCCATTTGTCGCGGCGATAGATTAAAGGTCGCTGGCTCGGTTTTCTCCTCGAGGTATCATTGACCCACGCACACGCGTAGATCTCGCGCGGTTTACTATTGATAACTTCGTGCTACCCTCTTTCTGCAATCCGTGCTTTCTGGAATCTCAACCCTGTCTCTTTTTGAACAAAAGATTTTTCAGGGTGGTTATTGCTTTTGGTTCAAATTTGAGTTGCATTCAACGCCATTACTGTTGTATACAAATTAATTAACTCTACATTGCATGATTTTTTAATTTTGAAAAGAAGATGACAGAAATAAGAGTAATACACAAGAAATAATAGACAAGTGTACAGGGTGTACAGAGAAGCGTACATACATATGTACACAAGTATACAGGGTGTCTCACAAGTGGTGCAACTCTGAACAACTCTCCTTTGCGAAAATGGAGTTCGAAGCTTCACTTGAATTATTAAGCAAAGAAACTCGTACTTGTATTTAGACAAATATATTCAGAGGGGAGTTACTAAATAACATTTTGAGAATGCATAACAAGAAGTACTTTCATTTCATTAATTATGACTTTTGCCAAGTTTCCTTCATTTCATTAATTACGACAAGGTGCAAGAATTTCATAGTAGCATGACAGTCAGTGTGAAACCCAGTTCGCTGAGAAACCAGTGCCCTTCCCCTATTTACTCAAAAGCGTCCGCCGCCAAAAAACACCTCCCACTTGTAGATGCATCTAACTCTCGTTCTTTTTCCAGCGTCGACGTCGTGCTCGCGTCTCGATATAACCGCGGCTGACGTCAAGAGCACGCATCAACAACAACATCACCATCAGCAGTCCTCGTCAGCGATGTCGACACTGGTGTGTTGCGAGCCGGTGTCGGCCGGTCGTTCCCGGGACAACTTGAAGCTGGTTCTGAACCGTAGTTTGAGCGAGCCAGGTCCGCCAGTGAGCGCGTCCTCTTTCTTGTCGTCTCCGACGTCTATCGTGTCCCCGAGCTCGTCGACCAGCAGCGGAGTCGACGTCGACACTGTGGACGGCAACGACTGTAACTTGAACGCCAGTGGTAGCAGCATCAGCGGTTGCAGCACCTCCAGCAGCGGCACCGACTGCGATTTGCCCGACGTCCGTCGACACTATCACCATCTTCATCATCACCACTTCCATCAGCACCAGTTGTCCGCCTCGAAACGCTGCAAGCTGGAAACCGTCAGCCTGCCCAGCAGCCCTTGCTCCGAGAACAACACCCTGCAGAGGCAGCTGGTGCTGCAGAGGACCAAGACCATCACCGCGGATGACCTCGCAAGACGTCTTCTTGGTCACCAGGACAACGTGCCTGTACTGCTCGATTGTCGGCCGTTTATTCTTTACAACGTGAACCACGTCACCGGTGCCATCAACGTCAACTGCTCTGACAGATTTAATAGACGCAGGCTGCAACTCGGGAAGGCTAGTCTCGCGGATCTGGCTACTACCAGGGAGGGCAAGGAAGTGCTCAGGAGGAGACACTACAGGGAGGTGGTCGTGTACGATGATTACACCGACGATATGGACCGATTGCCGGTTCAACACCCGCTGTTCCTGGTGCTCGTTGCTTTGCTGGAGGATAACAGGGAACCTGCGCTTCTGATCGGTGAGTCATTTTGGGTTATTTGGTGGAGGGAAGTGTAGGTTAGGTTAGTGTTGGCTTTCTTTGGATGGATGGATGATGGAGACCATTGTTTTTTATATGAAGTGAGAAGTATAGGTTAGGTTACAGTGTTGGCTTGCTTTGGATGGGTGGATGATGGAGACCATTATTTTCATCCAAAGTGAAAAATATAGATTAGGTTACAGTGTTGGCTTCCTTTATATGGGTGAATCATGAAGACCATTATTTTCATCCAAAATGAGAAGTATAAGTTAGGTGACAGTAGTGTTGGCTTTTTTTGAATGAATGAATGATGGAGACCATTATTTTCATCCAAAGTGAAAAGTATAGGTTAGGTTACAGTGTTGGCTTCCTTTATATGGGTGAATTATGAAGACCATTATTTTCATCCAAAATAAGAAGTATAAGTTAGGTGACAGCAGTGTTGGCTTCTTTTGAATGAGTGGATGATGGAGACCATTACTTTAATCCAAAATAAGAAGTATAAGTTAGGTGACAGCAGTATTGGCTTCTTTTGAATGAGTGGATGATGAAGACCATTACTTTGATCCAAACTGAGTATATGTTAGGTTACAGCAATGTTGATTTTCTTTGGATGAGGTGCATGATGGAGACCATCAGATTTTGATCTGATAACTTACCTCATATATGTATATACATAATGTGTATATGTATACACATGTGTATGCCACATGTGTGACATACGTTTACATCATAAAGAGAGATACAGCAGTGACTTTCAGAAGAATTATTACAAAAATTCTTATATATTTGTTTACTTAATATGACCTGTTTGATAAAACAGACGTGTGATACCAAATACGTCTGGTATATATCATACCAAACGTATGAGAGGATACCATCGGATATTTCATTAATTGTATAATTCAATTAAGAAATATAGAAAGTCGAAATATTCGTGCCTATTTATAGTAAGAGTTAATTTGATAGGGTTATCTGAGCATAAATTAAAAATTACTCCACAAATTTCGAAACGCCTTATCACCTTTGATAATTGAATAATACGGAAAGTTCTCGAGTAATATTCGATAACAATTCCAGTAGAAATATTAGAAAGTGTTTATTTCATTGAGACACGCTTCTGATACACCGTCATCGTCCAGTTTAGAATTTCGAAGATATCGTGAAAAAAGATCGTTTCGAAACGACTCGATAAAGTACGCGTCACGTTACGCCGGTTGTTTACACACGTTATAGATTATGCTAGACGCACATTAGATATTTGCGAGTTTGATAATTCGATTAGAATCGAAATTGCTTCGTCAGTTTCGAAACGGTCTCATTGTCGATAAAGTACGTGACGTCACGTTGTATTCGTTGTTTATGTAAGATCACGTGGGAGCTGCTGACTTTCGGAAATAACGATGATGCGCCGCGACGATCGCGAAAGTCGCTTCTGCGCCTTTTCTCTCGAGCATTCCTTCCCGAAACGCCGAATCATTGCCTCTGTTTTATTTACGAATCCACCGGAAAATTTACGACCATCGCTTCTCTATGGTTCATTGTGCGAATGCGATAGTTTACTGCAATCTGTATACTTTCCTTATTCCGTGAATTGCATTCAGATTTCATCGGTAACTTCTTCCGTGGAATTTCTTTGAATATTTATTCGCTTTTGTGTTCACGCAAAGTTGTGTAGACTTGAAGTTGTGTTGAATATATTTTTACTTGCAGTAAAAATTATAGTTTAGTATGTTGTATTGTGTCATAGTATATCGTATTCTGTACTGTTATTGTATTATATTTTGCCACAGTGCATGTACACCATACTAACGTAACATTGCTTCTATTTTGCTGATATTGTACATATTATTACTATATGTATTGTTACTATATTAGATTATACTATTATACAGAGTGTCTCACAACTAGTGCATGTCTCTGAAATGGCAGATAGCTGACGTTATTCTGAACAAGATTTCCCTTTGCGAAAATTTGGTCTGAAGCTTCGTTTTTGAATTATTAAAGAAAAACACGAACCAATCAGAGCGCGAGGGCGTGTACGCAGACGCGAGACAGCTCCGCCTAGCGGCTGAGCGCGCGAAAACCTCGCGCTCTGATTGGTCCGTGTTTTTTCTTAATAATTCAAAAACGAAGCTTCAGACCGAATTTTCGCAAAGGGAAAAGTTGTTCAGAATCTCGAACTCCACCAATTCTGAGAGTTACGTTAGTTGTATGACACCTTGTATAGTGTTACATACTATGCTGTACTGATACTACTCTGTCACACTATACATACCATATTAACGTAATATTGATTCAATTACTGTACTGATACTGTATTATACTTACTGATACTGTTATTATATTAGACTAAACTATTATATACCGTTATTGATACTACGTAATGTGACTACATTATATGAACATAGCTCTGAAAGCTCTGAAATTTAACTATTTTGCAAAAGTTGAACTGTTTAGCAAAAGCACCGATTTCGACCGACGTTACGCAACGCAAAAATCGTTTTCCAAAGTAAACAACCTAATACATTGCGCTATTCTGTCATAAAGTTTAACAATAATAATTTGTGTAATTCGGAGCGCGGAAATAAAATGATGGGATAATCTCGAACAGATTGGAAGATCCGAGAACTGCGAGGTACCGAAGGTATCGGTATCGCGATATTCGGTGTTTGGCAAACATAATCAGGGAGAAGAGCGAGCCCGGTGGCATAGTGTAGTGCGCAAATTCTGGCCGACTATTCGCGGCGTCATCTCCGACGTGAGTCATTCCTATGAATAGATCCCCACCTTTTGCCGCCACGGGCTCTGTGTATCGCGGTGACTTCGGCCTCTTCGATGCCTTTTCTTTCCGACCATCGTGCCCTAACATTGTGTCACATGACCTAACATTTCTTTTTGCGCGGGAAAATAGGTGGTTATAATTTCCTTATTTGGGTCATATGAATTTCATTATATGATTTCTTGAATTCTTTCTTTCTAAAAATTACTGTAACCTTGATGTAAATTTTCTGGTTCATTAACTTCTTCGAACATGATGCTTTTAATCGTGTTCCTCGAACAGGTCATTGACCTGTGATCAACGAGAGGTTAGAGTAACAACTTTGAAGGCCACCAATTTTAAAATTAATTATACGTATCACTGTGTAATTATATGTTAAAAATTGTAACTTGTTTAAACAAATATAAAACGGATAATATGTGTGACATGCACATGTGTGACCTCTGACGCATTTAAATCGAACACGTGTAAATATCCTTGAAGCAAAATTATTGATCAAGTTATATTCTTTTATTCGTCTCGTTTTTCAGTGAAATATATATGTTTCCGTCACCAAGCGATATTTTTGGAGGCCTCGTTTCCTACGCGTTTGACCAATCACTTTCGAGGACTCGTTCGAGTTTTCAACAATCACATCCTTAAGTTTCATTCTTTTCTTGATCGATAAATCAGTGACGTTATTCAGAGCGTTTGAATGCAAGCAATATTTGCGCATTACTCGAGAATGCATATGCGGAATTCGAAATGAGAAAAACGGTTGGCATTAGAATTATGAAAAACGCGTGACTCATTTGGATGGCCTTCTGTTTTACACTTCCTTAGGCAGAACTCGATCACGGCACACGAAGCTGATTTACGCGAAAAAAAAACGATACCTGTCAGCTAGTCGAGTTGATCGACCAATCGTCGTTGGAATAATTAACCGTTCAATTCGATTTCCTATCTGAGTTTCTTTAGTCGTCGGATTTTTCTTGATGTTACTTGAGACGTATTCTTGAAAATTGATAGTTGAGTAGCTATTTGAGTTTTGGGGATTTTTAATGTACTACTTTGGAAAGTAAATTTTTCAACAACTAAAGTACTCAAATCTCACAATCCCCAAGTCCACATTTCCTAATTCCCACATTGTCCAATTCCACATTCCCTAATTACACTTTTTCTAATTCCCACATTTCCCGATTCCCACATTCCCCAATTCCACATTCCCCAATTCCCACATTTTTCAAGTCCACATTCCCCAATTCCACATTGTCTAATTCCCACATTGTCCAATTCCACATTTCCTAATTACACTTTCTCCAATTCCCACATTTCCCAATTCCCACATTTTCCAATTCCCACATTCTCCAATTCCACATTCCCCAACTCCACATTCCCCAATTCCCACATTGCCTAACTCCACATTCCCCAATTCCCACATTGCCCAACTCCACATTCCCCAATTCCCACATTTCCCAATTCCCATATTCCCCAATTCCCACATTTCCCAATTCCACATTCCCCAATTCCATATTCCCCAATCCCCACATTCCCCAATACCCACATCCCCCAATTCCCACATTCCCCAATTCCACATTTCCCAATTCTCACATTCCCCAATCCCACATTCCCCAATTCCCACATTCCCCAATTCCCACATTTC